AAACTGCGATTGTTTTTTTCTCTCTCTCTCTCTCTCTCTCTCTCTCTCTGATTTTGCAAACTTGGGCTGTGCCAGAAGAAGAAGAAGAAGAAGAAGAAGAAGAAGAAGATAGTAAGAAGAAGAAGAAGAAGAAGATAGTAAGAAGAAGAAGAAGAAGAAGAAGAAGAAGAAGAAGAAGAAGAATAGGAAGACTCACCTTTGCCGATGGACGGCGGGGCAGGGCGATGGCGATCCGAGGCCGGGGCGGACCGGGGGGGGGCCGACGCAGTCTCGACCTCGTCCACTTTTGACGAAGTGTCGTAGTGACAGGTTGTGATGCTCGAAAGCAGCTGGAGGCAGGAGGCGGGAGGCGGGAGGCGGAATGGTGGTGGCGGTGGCTGGGGACATATGGATGGCAGGCCGATGTTTGGGTGGTTTCCCGCCCGAATGGTCAATTACGGGTGGCCTATCTGGGCCGCAGATCTCACCAGATCGACGGCCCAGATAGGCCGCCAGTTTTTCAATGTTCTGGCGGTCCTACCAGACCCGGTTCAATTTTTTTTGGGGCCGGGAAGCCTCCACGACCTGCATGGAGGCCTCCCGGCCCCAAAAGAAATCAAACCCCTCCCGCAATCAAATTGCGCAAATTGCAACCAGGGGGGAACCGGCATGGTCCGAAGGGGGCCCCGGTGACCCCAGGTATTCAGCCTTGTTTTGAAGTCCACGTCCGAACTTGTAAATGCAGTTCTTGCGTCAGTTGCAACACCATCATTGCCCGGCTTGTTTTGTAGGCAATATTAAATTCAGTTCTTAAGTCAGTCAAGGGTGGTATCGAGTCATCTCCACCACTACCATCACCACCACTACCTCTTCAGATTAGAAAAGAGTTGGGGCTATAAGTGCCTACTGTTATTGGAAAAAGAAAAAGAAGTCCCTTATAGCCAACAGCTCCATTCTAATCTCAAGAGCAGGTGGTTGTGCTACTGATGGTGGAGACGACTCGATACCACCCTCCACTGACTTAAATGAATCTAAAACTGCCCACAAAACAGACCCAACAATGGCGGTGTGGCAACTGATGCAAGAACTGCATTTACAAGTTTGGAAGTGGACCTCAAAACGAACTTCAAAACTATGCTTCTCGGGAGGGTCGCGCTGACCATATGAAGCTCTCAGTGCATACACAGACCAAACCTTTCTTTGGCTGAATTTATTCACAACTACGATCACGTAAATTGCCTGTGCTCAAAGTACGGACTCTTACTAAGACTGCAACAGGAGGGAGGAGCCAGATTGGACACAACAGTCATACTCGAACTATGACTTGCTGGAATGAATCTGGACTGGTTTGCGACCAGTTACCTCACCTTCATTAAGCGAGCCGGAACCTTTAAGCCGCGTCAACTCCTCCTCGAGCTGCATCACCTGCTGTTTGCTTTCCATCAACGCCTTTCTGTAATGCATCTCTATGACAAGCTCAAGGATGCGATGGAAATCAAAAAACAATTTTGAGTTTTCCCCCTCAAGGCCACAACGACCATTTGAAAATTCTGGTGACCTTCGATTGGTCCCGGTCAGGTTTCCGCATGGGCTTCCTCCGACAACAAGGTCAATGCCTCCGAACCGCTCAAAGATATCCTCTATATCTTTTTCCATAAATTTCGTTACGTCTCTCCAATCTTGAATGAGTTGTTCCTTTGGCAATTCACGTTTCAACCACCAGCTTCGAACAACTTTCCGACATTTCTCGTCTATCTCCACAGCAATGTACACCCTCATGCACACACCTGCCATGTCTAAGGCGATGGCGCACCCACCAATCCCATCAAACAGTGACAACACTCGGATCCCGTCTGGAAACTTGGCTTTGAGAGGCGAGAAATGGGTCGCAACCGTGTGGACTTGAAAAGCGTTCCCAAGGGCTTTGTAACGGTTCTGGTGCGTCATGTCGCACGTATGCCACTTCGGATATCCCATCACGAGCTCCATTTGCTCAGGGGTCAAAGGGGTCAGAATCTCTGGTTGCATCCAGACAAGGTTGTTTTCCGCGAGAAAACGTCGCAGTTTAGGGTTGTGGATCCCCCTCATACTTAAGTCTTGAGCCTTCTTTAACTCCTTTCCACCGCATTTTTTGGTTCTCAGACAGCAAAATTGTTGCCTCTTGTCCCATTCTGGCCAGAACTTCATTCCTGGTCCCTCCTCCTTCATGACATCCGATATTGTCATGTATCGGCTCTTGTACTCAGTCCGGTCTGTCCTCGGAAGATTGTGTACGTACCTCCGATCGCGACGTGCCGCGCAGTATGCCTTGCTATTCACTTTCTCGGGAGGATGCTCATGCAAGAAAACTGAGATCTTCGCCCAAGTGTCTTTTGGCGCCTGACCGACATTTTCAAAATAGAAATGACACATTTCCCCCTTCACTTCTCGGAGCATCGAATCCTCTGCTCGACCTCCACCACCGCCTTGTGCACAACCCGGGGGGAAAGCGGACTCCGTAACCTGCCCAGTGTTGGACCCCTCCACACCATATGCATCATCATCACCAGACTCATCACTATCCTCCTCCTCCTCCTCCTCCTCCAGCTCATTGCTCTCCTCCTCCTCCTCCTCAAGATCTTCGTCACAATCCTCAACTCCAACGTCACTCACCCGACATGGCCTTTTTCCTCTTGAAGGGCCAGGATCACTTGATAGCGCAACTTTAGGGGGAACCGTCGCTCTCAAGGAGGGACCTCTACGTCTTCTGCGCTTCGGCATCAAGTTTCCGCAACCCAGATTTCCCAAAGCACAAGAATCTCCAGTGGCTATCTGAATGCCTCGAACTCCGTTGTGGGAACGTGCTTGGCAGATCTCACTTCGGTCCATTGTGAAGACCCTATCAGCATTGGAATCAGCACCTCTCTGGCGATGGCACTCGACTTCCTCCGAACACATCTCATCCAACCTTGGAGATTGATTTCCACTATCATCGTCTGTTGATAGCAGAGACCCACAGTCATCGAAATCCCACAGTCGTCTTCCATCATGCTGTCTTGGTACTCCAGCGCCAGTCTGACACAAACATCAACAATGACCGCTTTAATATATTGAAACCCCCCCCCCTCTTCCTCATTTCTCCCCTCTCCTCAGCCCAATCAATCGCACAGATGGTGAGTTTGGACAATCCAACTAGGCTGTTTTCACCGGCGCGTGGGCACCCAACTTATACCCGGGCACAAGCACAGGTGCCCCGCCGGGCATGACCCCCAGGCAGGATTCCTGGCAGCCCAGCACAAAAAAGAAAAAAAGAACAAAAAAATGATTTTTTTGGGAAAAAAACATATGTTGTGTAGAATTGCAATACAAACGACTTTTGGCTGAGGTAACATTAAAATTCCTCACAGAATCAGAGATACAAAAGAATATATGCAGAATCACACTAAGGCACCCCCCCTTTAAACCCCTTTAGCCCTTTTAAAACCAATTTATACCCCCCTTCCCCCCCTTCCCCCCTTCCGGATTTGGGGCCCTTTGGAGGAGCACAGAAAAACAAAAAATATTTTTTTCTTTTTTTCTTTTTTTTTATTATTTCTTTTTGCATGCCCGAGTACCCCGGGCGTCATGCCCGGGTGCCCGGCCGGGCATGGCCATGCGTGAGAATCTTCCTGGCAATTCGATTTAAATCCAGACTAGCACTACAACAAATGGATTTCATCTAATTTGTTGGATTATGAATATTGATGTTTTTTTTTAACTACATTTACACAAAAAGAAAGTCAAATGTCCACAACTCTTCTGACAGATCTGGTACTATACACGAAGAGCCAGTGCAACTCCGCCCAAGTGAGGAAGGGGTGTTTTATGTAATCAAGTCGTTGGTTGCAGGCAGGGACAACCACGGCCTTCGTAGAGAACATGTACAGATTGGGAAGGAGGGCGGTGATATGGGCACTCTGGTGGCAAAGATGTACCTTGGCCATGGAGAAGGTACGGGTCGAGGGGTCAGAGATCACGGAACAGATTCAGAAGCAGGTACACCTTGAACTCACACGCAGATGGTTGGAAACAAAAGCACAATTAGATCTCTTCAGACAAATCGGAGACGTCAGGAGACGGATTACGGCATTTTGCACAGACTGGGTAGGAGGGGAAAGAGAAGGGTGGATTGCAAAAGTAAAATGGAGTGGTGACAGAGGAGAAGGGCTGCACGATTTGGAAGAAATGAGAGACTACCGTCTAGTTTTCAAAGACAGGACTAGCACAGAACTCTTGTTCCCATTACGCCCTCCCTCGGATTTTCCAGACCCCTTCCCTCCCCACGCCCTGTCGCTGGCAGAAATCCTGTCCTGATAACCTGGCCTCCCTTACATCCTCGTAAGTGCCCACATGTGGAACTCCTCCCTGGAGCCCCCTTGGGAGGATTCCACTACTCTTCCTTTCTTCTATATGTTCAGTAGAGGTAGTCAATACTGGTAGCCTGAGTATTCTGAGCAATCTGTGACATTGGGTAGGGTCTGGGGTGAGCAGTTTTTCTAAAGAGTATCAGTCTTCAACAGCTTATCCGGCGCCCTTCTTTGGAGGGTGAAGAGATACAGAAGGCAATGGCAGTTCTCCAAGCCCGCAAAGGACTACAATGGACATTACACAGGCCTGCTCAGTCAATCCCCTGGGTTGCAGGGCAATCAATGCTGGCAGGCCCCCACAGCCACTATCCTCATTTTTCTCAGACATTCTCTTTTGTGTACATGGGACGCTGGACCCGTTTTCCAGCAGGTGACGCTCCCCACCAATAGATGGAGCCTCTCCCCTGGGGTTAGTGGTGTCTGCTCTTATCAGCAGCACTAACACGGGAGGAGGTGTTTAAAAAAAAAAAAAAAAAAAAAAAAAAAAAGACTAGTGAATCTGAAAGCTCCAATCGCTCTGGATACCAGAGCCGAAAAAATAGCGGAGAGTAGTGTGCAGTAGAAAGTAGAGTAGAGAAGATAGTGGAGAGGAGTACAGAGTAGAGTGGAGTAGCCTACAGAGTAGGCAGTAGAGTAGAGAGCAGAGAGTAGAAAAGAGTAGAGGGAGGAGAGAGTCGAAGAGTGTAGAGTAGAGAGTAGAGTAGAGAAAAGAGTCGCGTAGAGTAGAGAGAAAGAGTGGAAAGCGGAAAGTTGAGTAGAGTAGAGTGGAGAGGAGAGAGGAGAGTGGAGTAGAGAGTTAAAGAGTATAGGAGAGTAACAGTAGTCTAGAGTAAAATGTACAGACAGTAGAGTACAGTGCAGAGTAGAGAGTAGAGACAGTAAGCACAGTAGAGAGTAGAGAGTAGAGTGGAGAGCAGAGAGAAGAGTAGAGAGCAGAGAGAAGAGTGGAATAGAGCTTAGAGAGTAGGCAGGAGAGAGTAGAGTACAGTACAGTAGAGTGAGAGAAGAGTATATAAGAGTATAGAATAGAGTAGCATATAGTAGAGACTCTAGAGAGTAGAAAGTAACGAGTATAGTGTAGAGTCGAGTAGAGAGTATAGAGTAGGAAAGTAGAGAGTACAGGGTTGAGTAGAGAGTAGAGTAGTGTAGAGTAGAGAGTAGAGTACTGTAGAGTATAGAGAAGAGATCAGAGATTAGTGTAGAGTGGAGAGCAGAATAGTAGTCTAGAGGAGAGACAAGAGTACTGTAGAGTACAGAGTACAGAGTAGAGTAGAGTCGACGCAAGTAGAGTAGAATAGAGAGTAAAGAGTAGACAGTATAGTACAGTACAGTAGAGCGTACCGAGTGTAGAATAGAGGGGAGAATAGAAAAAACAGTGGCCAGTAGAGAGTAGAACACCAGCGAGTAGAAGGTAGAGTCCAGAATAGCATAGAGTAGAGTAGAGAGTAGAGAGTTGTGTAGAGTTGGTACATAGAAGAGTGGAGAGTAGAGAGGAGAGAGCACAGTGGAGTAAAGAGTGGACAGTAGAGAGTACAGAATAGAGTAGAGAAGAGTACAGACCGAAAGCAGAACAGAGTACAGTGGATTGGAAAGTACACAGTACAGAGTTGAGAGTAGACATAGAGTCGAGCAGAGAGCCGTGAGTTGAGTGCAGTAGAGTAGACTAGAGAGCAGAGAGTTGAGTACAGTAGAGTAGACTAGAGTTTGTCTCATTGCTTGTGTTGTGCAAGGAATATGAGTGTGAACAATATACAGAAAACCAAGTTGCGAAATCACACAGATGTTCAAGTAGTCGTGTACAAGCAGAGAGTAACAGCACCGAGAATCCATCCAAATAAAGCAATACAATGAAGTAATGAGCCAACGTTCATGCCCTCAGGCCACACTAACACAGTATCCAAAGTCGCTCCTCTCTATCTGGCGCCCAGAGCCTAGCCTTACTCTACTCAACTATCCTGCCTACAGCTGTGTTCACGCAACAGGCTCACTTCGACTCTCGAAGACCAATGTACATGATGTCAACACCATAGCCGACCCCTCTTCATGCACCAGGTACGTATCTCGTCACCCTCATCAGACCTTCATAACCCACACACTCGCCTCCTTCCCTGCAGACCACCAGATCGCCCCCTCTTACCCCCTAGCACCCAGCAGCCCGGCTATGGCTGCCAGCGCACCGCTGCCCTGCAGCACCCCACTTCACCTCAACGCGCCTCGCAAGCGCACTGGCCACAGCGCAGCAACATGACCGCATGGCTGCACGGGGCCAGAATGCCTGGCCTGGGCTTCCTCACTTCCTATATGGAAGTGGCAGCCTCCTGGATGCTGTGTGTGGCCTGGCTGGAAGCTTTCCTGTAGCTTCGGGTTGGGCCTCAGTTCCTGCGCCCAGGCCCAAGACTACAGTCGTGGGCCTGGGCCCTTAACAGTTGGGCACGGCCTGAGTCTCCAGACTTAGGTGTGTCGACAATACTGCTTTTGCATAGGCCGGTGGCCACTTCATGATGTATCAGCCCTGCTTTGTGTGTATGTGCCCAGGCGCAACTGCCTAGGCCTGGGCCAACTGTACGACGCAGCATAGTGAGGCTCACGCGTCCACTCAACCAACTGGCGTGCTAAAACAGCCCGAATACCCATATATGAAAAAGTCAAATTTTGGCCTCTGGTGAATATTCAGGTCCGCCTTCACTTAGGGAGGGCACTCGGCTTACTGGGGGCATGTGTATGTCTGATAGGGGCCCCGTGAAGGCTCGTTCCTCACATTCCATCCCCCTTAGCTTCGAAAGTCCGCTGAGATGCTTCATGCTGGTGCCTTCCCCTTCAGTTTCTTCTCATACTCGGCCACGATCTGAGGAGCTGTCTTGACTAGTTCCTCCCTCATAAACCATCGATCTTCCTTAGGATCTGTATGATGCCTGAACCGTACTCTGTACTCCTTGCAGGTTTAGGCGGTCTACCCCTGCCAGCTGGCTTGGGAACAGGCGTGTCTCTGTGCTCCAGGATATCATCGACGTCCACGTGGTCATCCATGGTTGGGGGCAGCATAGATCTCTGTGATGGGAACTGTTCCGTCTCAGCGAAAGGAGCGAGCTTTGAGGCATGAAAGACAGGGTAAGTGCGTAAGTGACCAGGGATACGAATAACGTACGAGGGACCATCCATTTCACTACCCACAACATCCAGGACTTCCCAGGGACAGAAATATTGAGGCATGAGTTTCCTAGAGATGCGGAACTCCTGTCCCAGTTCACTAGCCTTAACCCAGACACGTTCATGTACCTGACATGTGGACTGTTGGCGATGTTTGTTCTCAAAAGCAATCATTGCTTCCTCAGACTTCTTGAAGTTCTCGACAGCTTGCTGCAGCAACTTCTCGTACTGGACACCAAATTCAAGGGTTCCAGGAGTTGCAGCAGGTCGGTTTTCAGGAAGAACAAGGTCTAGTGCAGATCTTGGCTTCCACCCATAATGCAGCTGATCTGGGGTGACCCTGGTGGTGCTGTGTACTTCTTTATTATACAGACTGGCGATGAGAGGCAATTTCTCATCCCAGTCATCCTGGCTGGGCTTAATGTAATGCCTCAGCAGGTGCTGCACCACCGGTTCATCTGTTCAGCCTGTCCATTGGCTTCGGGATGATTCCCAGAAGTCATTTGCAGTTGGCTGCCCATCTGTTCAAGAGTCTTCTTCCACATCTCACTTGTGAAACGCACATCTCTATCACTAATAATCATCTTTGGCAGTCCAAAGTCACTCACCCAATTATCCATGAATAACTCGATGACGTTTTCAGTCCTGGCGGTCTCCGACATGGCAATTAGTCTAGCAAACTTAGTGAACCTATCGACTATGACGAAGATATGTCTCTTCCCACTCTTGCTAGTCACGAGGGTATCCATGTAAGTCCATGGAGATATGCTGCCCCGGACCAGCAGGGATGGGTAGAGGCTTTACTAACCCAGGCGGAGCTTGAGTACGCGGCTTGTCCCGCTGACAGACCTGACAGGTCTGTACGTACTTCTTTGCATCATCCAACATGTTAGGCCACCATAATCACTGTACTAAATTAGCACTAGTTTTCTTATAGCCGAAATGTCCCATTGCGTCGTGGCACTCACCTTAAAATAAACTACGCAAAATCTCTCTAGATGAAACAACTAACCATTTAAACCCTACCTTCTCAAGAAAGAGTAACCCATCCACCATCACAAACTCATCAGTGGTGGCCTTGTCTTTGGCCTTCAATTTGTTGATGATGTCCATCGTGATAGGGTCTTCCTTGTAGGTTTCACCCAAGGATCGAGTAATGTTCTTAGACAGGCCAAACTCATAAATCAGCGCACCTAAGTAATCTGCCCTATGAGACACTGCATCAACAACCTTGTTGTACTCTCCTTTCACATGGTCTAGTTTGAAATCATACTGATCTATGACTTCAATCCAGCGTTTGAGTGCATCGGAGAGAACTGGTTGTGTCTTGATCCACTTGAGGGTCTGATGGTCAGTTCTCAAATAGAAGAACCTTCCTAACAGATAGTGCCTTCAGTGGATAAGTGCCTTGTAGAGGGCATAGAGTTCCCTCTCGTAGGTGGACTTCGCCAACTTCTTTGATGACATCTTTTTGCTCATATACTCGACCGATCTCAACTTTTTCGCTTCCTGCTGAGCCAGCACTGCGCCAATGTCGTATCGGCTTGCATTAGTGGTTACAACAAACGGCCTTTGCGGGTCGGGTATCATGAGAACCTCATGATGCGCGAGTGCATGCTTCAAACGCTTGAAAGTTGCCTCACAGTCGTCAGTCTAGTCCCATAGTGTATCAAGTTGAGTTAGATCAGTCAAGAAAGATGTGATCGTGCTATAGTTCTTTACGAAATTGCGGTAACAACCACACATTCCCAAGAATGATCTGACCTCAGTCACAGACTTGGGTCGTGGCCAGTCACGTATGCTAGCCACCTTCGCATTTTCGGGCCTAATCCCATCCGCGGAGACTTCATGACCCAAGTACAAGATTGGAGTGCGACCAAACTCACATTTCTCTGCATTTATCTTATACTTGTGTTGTCGAAGGAGTGAAAGTACCTTGTCTACATGCTGAGCATGCTCCTCGACAGTCTTACTAAAGATAAGTATATCATCGAGGTACACAACAACGAACTTATCTAAGTAGTCATGGAAGATCCTATTCATGGCATGTTGGAATGTACTTGGCGCATTGCAAAGGCCAAAGGGCATCACCACAAAGGTCCACAAACTCGTACAGACCATACCTGGTCTGGAATGCGGTTTTGTGTTGGTCCTCTGGTCTTATAGCAATTTGATGGTAGCCGGATTTTCAGTCTTAGTATAGTACTTACATCCCTGCACCCTATCCAATAGGTCGTCGATGCGTGGTTGAGGCTTTGCGTTCTTAACAGTGATGACATTGAGGCCTCTATAATCAATGCAGATCTTTAGTGTTCCCTTTTCTTTGGGACAAATGATACTGGTGAGCCAAAGAGGGAGGTGCTAGATCGTATCCAACCCTTTTCTGTGAGCTTTTTCAGTTGTGCCAAAGCTCGTCCAACTCGGCCGGAGCCATCCTATAGATTCTCCCTTTAGGTGTCTTGCTACCTGGGATGATCTCTATGGCATGGACAACCTCCCTGTCTGCGACTCCAATAAGCTCCTCGAACAGATCAAGGTACTTTGCGATGATGTTCTCTATCTCTGGGTGTGTTTTAACGGCCTCCCCTTTCTCAGAGACATAGACTAGGTACATACCTTCCCCGCACAATCCAACACAGCCCGCCGCACCCGCCCAAGATATTGGTTGCGAACAGCCCCCGCCCACACCACACCCAGAGATCGCAAGTTAACCACACTACCCGAACAATGGCGCGCGCGAAGGAACCACCGACAGCTTCGGYCCACAGCCGGATGCCACCGCCCGCCCAAAACGTACCGACACCGAAGTGCACAGCCTCATCTCTCCATCGACAAACGCGGGTGAAGAGAGAAACGAATGCACCACGCTTCCAACACGCCCGGACGGACGGAAAGCCTCCACCTGTGCACGGGGGCGCAAAAGGAACACAACCCCTCTCCCCCCTGGATCCACATTCGCCAGTTGTCGCGGGCACCACCAACAGCACTCGACGCAGGCAAAACCCAGGAGACAGAGGACAGTAGCCTTCGAAGCCCACAACCTAAACGCAGCGGAACCACGACGCAACGCGATCCGTCACGGTGTGCAGCATACCGAGACCACAAGATGGGGGACACAACGGGCACAAGCGCGCATTCCAAAAAGTCGACGGGCCCAGCCTCGCGACGTGGTTCTATTTGTAATAATTATAAAATGCAAGTGCGCATAAGCACCCATAGGATTCAATTAACCTACTGGCTTTGTACTAATCCAGTCTAACGGTCCTCCCATTAGGCAACTCTTGCTTTAGCACCTTCTTGTTCCAATCAAACTGGGGCTTGGCAACCTCAAGGTAGTACATTCCTAACAACATATCGAAAAGCAAATCGTCGCTCACCACGAATGATATTCTATGATTAAGTTCTCATCCTCGGTAGGAGAAAGTGCAGACCACGTCCTTAACGTAGTCCTCCACCATCATGCGCTCTTTGTTGGCCAAAGTGGATGCTATCGGTCTACTAAGGCGTTGCACCCGGTCCTTTAGGCGCAGCCTCTCAACGCAGTCACAACTTATGAAGTCTCGTGTGGAGCCAATGTTTACGAAAGCACCACACTTGCAGGCAGCCACATTGACTTCCACAATGAGATGCTCCCCTCGAGGACCTCGACTAAGTGCCACCCAGGACTCACGAGGGTCCCTTGCCGACCACTCACCTTGAAGGTCCTCTAAGGCTTCGAACGCATCCAACGTACAAAGTATAGTTGGGTCCGGATGCGTCTGCGGGGTGACTAAGGAGTCAATAGCTTCGGCCAACTCTTGAAACGGGGAGGGTGCATCACCCGCTTCAACGAGAGTAGAAGCAGCTACAACTTCTACTGGCCCTAGGTGTTTCCCGAGTTGGAGCTCGTAGAGGCCCCAGACTGAGAAGAAGGATACCCACCCTTAGGTGGATCTTCTGCGCAACCTTAGCATTCTTGCATTTAAACTGTTGATGGTCATACTCGACACAATTTATGCAAGCCCCACGCTGCCAACGGTCCCACCACACATCTCGATCCAAACCAGCCGTAACCCACGCTGCTATTTTGTTTGGGTAGGCGGCTTGCCCCTGACTCCTTTGGTGACCGCCCTTGCCGCGGCCACCTGCCTTAGTCTTGACTACTGCAGCGAGGTTGCTACCCTCAGCACTATCCTCGCTGTCTACCTCTGAACTCTCCACAAGGTCAAAAACTTCATCGATCTCAGTTTGATTCCCTTCGAAATCAACCACCATCAATCGACTACCCATCTTCCACTTTTGTGGAGCCTTCTTCTTTCTCCCGTCCGTAGGGGGGCTTGAGCACCACCCAGCGTAGCCTCTAAATCTAGGGTCTTCTTGCTGAAGGTTTCAAAAGTGTGATACTCTAAATGAGCCTCGCTGGCCAACAAGTTCTTGATGTCTGTGGGAAGACACCTCAAGAACATGGTCAATAAGACCTGCGGATTGTACTCCACCCCTGGGACGACAATCAAACGCTCTACGGTCGTGGTCGTGGTGAGTTCGCGCACCAACTTATACTTCCTAGCATCAAGTTTCAATAACCCATCAATGGCTATCTGCACCTGCTGAGGGTTGTGCCACCGCGCCTCGACCAGATCCATAAAGCTCTCTGGGGTGTAGGCTTGAGCCCAATCACCCATGTTCCTACCGAACCCTTTTGAAGCAACCAATCCGTTCAACCAGCGAGCTGCTAAACCCTCTAAATAGGATGTAGCAGTCATCACTTCCTCCTCTACCAATGTCCTCTTTACCCTCACCCACACTAGCACCGTTCTCAACCATGTGTCGAGAGCCTCATCCTTCTCATCTCCTGAGAAGGTTGGAGGTCGTTTCAAAAGGGGCTTCGGGTACCCAGGCAATTGGTGTCCAGCTGGCGGGACAGGTGGCTTTTGTGGTGTAGCTCCAGCTGCTGGACTAGAAGATGAAGAAGCAACAATCTAAGATAGGGTTGTTGTTGAAGTACCGCTTGGTGGTGGTCCGGACTGAGGGGCATAGGGGCCTGTCATCACTGAGAATGGCAGCGATGGCAAAGCTGCTGGCCGGATTCCTGGCCTGTGCATGGCATTCAAGATCTGGTCCAGGGTGTCCTGGATAACGTCCAGCTTGATGTCCATGTACGCATGCAAGGACAGGATGCTCGCCTTGAAGACCTTTGTTGTGTTGTCAAGGCCTGAGTCATCTAACCCCTCTAATGCAGCTTTGTCTGCCTCCCTACCCTCTAGTCTGACACTCCTATCTCTAATCTCTCTCTCTCTTTTAGTAGCTGTTTAAGTTCCTCCTCTAGCCTTAAGCGGATCCTCTCAACTTGCTGGAGGTCCATCTGCTCCCGGGTCCATGGAGGTGGCGAGCTGGACTGCACGCCCGCTATCTGACTAGAGCCAGCTCCTGACGTACTGGAGCCGGGCTGCGACATGGACCATCCCTACGGCATGCCCAGGGAGTTTGCAGCAAACGATGCTACACAGGTAGCCATTGCTACCGCACTTGCTGCTGCTGCTGCCAATGCTCTCTCTGCAGCTGCTGCTGCTTCCCTTGCAGTCTCTAGATTACGGGCCCTAGCTTCGCCCCTTATTCTGCTTTCGTCTCCTTGTAGCAGGACCTGGAACACTACGGGTATCCTGCCTGTGTCCCGTCGTGTCTGCCTCCTATCGTCAGTTGTACCTTCACTCCCGGCTGATCCACTCATCGGCTAGGCAGACGTTGTCTGCACTAGTGTCCTCTTTGGGACCTACCGCAGCATGCATCTGACCGGTTCTAAAAATAATTAAAATAAATTAATGTCCGGCGAGTAACCTGGACTACCCGTCAAGCGGTGTCAACAGCATCTACACAGACTGTATACATAGTCTACTTCGATCCTGATTAGTTCTGCACAGAAACCTTGAGAAGAACTGACTATGGTAGAATATTACAGTCCTACTTTAAGCTGTTTGTTTGGTATCAGCAGTCTGGCAACCAACTACTCAAAATAAAAATAAACTAATGTGAGCAGATGTATGCACAATGGGTATGATAGTGTGTTACTGTCACGTCCTCAATTAGAATCTCCTTCCCGTGTATCCAACGTGTATGTGAGCATCATCAAGCGGCGGTCTCTAAGGCGTGCATTAACGGCCCACCCCTGTGCCCAAGGTGTATGCTTATGACCAGCCTGCCCGTTCTTTATCCTCGAGTGCAACGAGCCTCACGTCTGATTGATCTGGCTGATCAAGAGGCAATTTAAGGACAGCCCCCGAGAGTCCTCAGGAATTATTTAACGTCGCAATCAAGACGACGATCACCACCAGTGGACAGTTCATACCCCAACCAGAAATATTTATAGACGGTCTGCATAAGGACAAAGCAGCATGGCTTGCGTGTACTACTCCCATGGGTTGGCATGGTGACCGTGACCCATGCTTCGACCAGGGCCCTTCAAAGGCACCGCCCTCTACTGCCAGATGCGCCACCAGGAAGAATGTCATCTCTCAAGATAGAGCGGACACGACTCCTCACCAAAGAGAGGACACTCGAGGTTGGACTCACTTCCTCACCGTATGAAGAGATTGAGAGGGTAGATAAGGAATGGGAACAACGCACCTGAAGATAGCTGTCCCCAACCACAGATTTCTCACCAATTGGGCCGACGTGCATTTCGATTACCGGTCATAGCCTCGGTACCACCCACAATGCGATGTAGTGCCACCTCAGCCAAAATGCCACGTCAGCATGCTCTCATCATCATACATACATCCACTGTTGCCACAGCTCCCACGCTGTCGCCACAGCCTTCCAGCGGCCAACCACTCCTGGGCCCCGCTCTATCAAGCCAGCGCCAAAGTATCCTTACTGCGCATGAAGATTCGTCAGCGCACCAAGTAACAATGTCGCCAGCTCTAGGTAAGCGGCGATCATGAACCAGATCCGATACCAAATTGCAAGGAATATGAGTGTGAACGATATACAGAAAACCAAGTTGCGAAATCACACAGATGTTCAAGTAGTCGTGTAACAACTGCACCGAGAATCCATCCAAATAGAGCAATACAATGAAGTAATGAGCCAATGTTCAAGCCCTCAGGCCACACCAACACAGTATCCAAAGTCGCTCCTCTCTGTCTGGCGCCCAGAGCCTAGCCTACTCTACTCGACTATCCTACCTACAGCTGTGTTCACGCAACAGGCTCACTTCGACTCTCGACGACCAATGTACACATGATGTCAACACCATAGCCGACCTCTTCACGCACCACGTACTATCTCGTCACCCTCATCAGACCTTGATAAACCACACACTCGCCTCCTTCCCTGAAGACCACCAGATCGCCCCCTCTTACCCCCTAGCGCCCAGCAGCCCAGCTATGGCTGCCAGCGCACCGCTGCCCTGCAGCTCCCCACTTCACCTCAACGCGCCCCGCCAGCGCACTGGCCGCAGCACAGCATCCAATGCAGCAGTGCCGCAGCGTGACCGCATTGCTGAGCGGGCCAGAATGCCCGGCCTGGGCTGCCTCACTTCCTATATGGAAGTGACAGCCTCCTGGATGCTGCGCGTGGCCTGGCTGGAAGCTGCCTCAGTTCCTGCGCCCACGCCCGAGACTACAGTTGAGGGCCTGGGCCCTTTACAGTTGGGGACGGCCTGAGTCTCCAGACTTGGGCCATTTGCTGCATTTGTGCAGGACCCCGAGGTAGGTGCGTCTACAGTACTGCTTTCGCATAGGCGGGTGGCCACTTCATGATGTATCGGCCCTGCTTTGTGTGTATGTGCCCAGGCGCAACTGCCAAGGCCTGGGCCCACTGTACGATGCAGCTTAGTGAGGCTCACACGTCCACTCAACCAACTGGCAGGCTGCAGCAGCCTGAATACCCATTTATGAAAATGTCGATTTTGGCCTTTGATAAATATTCAGGCCCGCCTTCGCATAGGGCGGGCACTCGGCTTGCTGGGGGCATGTGTATGTCTGATAGGGGCCCTGTGAGGGCTCGTTCCTTGCAGATGTCTTAAGACAAGTGTTTGCATCTTGGTTTGCATTACACCGACGCCTGAGCGTCCGGAAGTCAATGAATGTGTTTGCATGTTCACTTGTGCAACATTGACGCGAAACCATCTTCCTGCCAAAACATGCTACTTGGGGCCGAGGCAGACGGCAACCCTCTCTCTCTCTCTCTCTCTCTCTCTCTCTCTCTCTCTCTCTCTCTCTCTCTCTCTCTCTCTCTCTCTCTC